GGAGTTACAACAATGAAAGAAGAATACAATGCAAACATGAAAACATTGTTGGAAATAACTTTTGAACAGCATAAAAATTCCATAGAACTTAAAAACCAGGTTGATGCTATTGCAGCACAACTGAAAAATATACTGTTTGAGACAGAAATATCAAGTATCTCATAAATGAGTCTTCCAATTCAATACCAAAGAGGTATAACGGGAAGCAGCAGTGGACCCAAAATGGATAACATACCAACCGATAAAAAAAGAGATGCTCTTCCAGTAACATCAAGTAAAAAAGATGATAAGATCAATTAATTCCAAAACAATCAGCATCATAGACCAAGATGATAGGACCCATTTGAACAAAAACGAAGAAAAATATGCTACAATAGTCCAAATGGTCTATGAAATGAAAATTTGTGATACATACTTCATCTATCCGGGACATAATGCTTGTCCTAGAGTCACAGCTATGGAAGGAGGTGATCCCGTTTTCATAAAAACAATTGCAAACTATGGATTTTTAGATTTAATATATCCAGAAAAAAAATTTGATAGAATTATCAAAATTTGATGAAACGGTCATACAAGAAGTGTCAAAATTCGCAAGAGGACGAAGGGTACACTTAAAATTTTACTCAATAAGTCCAGAATTTGATGGAGTTGTTTACTATCCCGTTGAACATATAATATCAATTGGATATGTAGCAGCCAACTTCAACATAGATATCATGGAAAATGAGAAGANTAGATATCATGGAAAATGAGAAGAGGATGCCAAAGATAACTAAGTCATGGATAAAACATAGACGAACACTTGGGATCAAGACTATATACAATATTGCAAAAAATTTATACGATAAAAAATTCTCATTTCTTTTACCAATATGAAAATTGGATACTATTAACCAATGGAGGATATGGTAAATCAGAAATATTGAAATATTACATTACAAAATTTGAAATACACCAATTTTCGGGATGTCTTACCACCATAAAAGAATATTGCCAGCTGCAAGAGTGTCTAAACTGCATGTGAAGATGTAGGACCAGAAAAACAATAATAGAAGGGAGATGCCCTGAATAAAGAAAACGTGAAATAAAGTTGTTTGTCTTATATAATAAAAGAACCATGATAATTTAGTGGCAAGACTTTGTGATAAAACTCCATAATTGGAGAATTATGTAATCAGTGATGTAAGATGTCAATAATTTTGCCTCATATGCTTGTATAAATAGAGGCCATCGGGTTAGAAGGAAGACATAACGAATTTGAGCACTCAGTATTGTGATATAGCCAAAAAACTTCTGTCAAATCTTGTATCAATTTTCCAAATATATCAATTCTACCAATTTGGAATACATCATTCACATTCCAATCATCTCAAATATAAATGAGTTTCTAAACTACTTTTCT